CTGGTTAGTTGTAACCCAGTAGACCACACGCTGGTTAGTTGTAACCCAGTAGACCAATCAGTTGTTGAAGATATGTCTTCTTTTCACATAAAACAGTTTTTCTGTTAATATCACATTTCACTTTGTATCACACTATCCGTTGATAAATTATCATGACATTAAGAGTAATGTATGTTATAATCAACAGGAGTATATTAAGTGTTAGTAGTAGATTAAAATCAACTACGGTACCTGTATCATCGACCTCACCTTCCACAAGTGTCCACTGTTATTCAATAACACTTGTGATTAACTTGCTGCACCAAGAAATCATATACAAGATTAAAAGCCTGATTCATTCCACAAATAAAACCCCACGTGAATTAATAGAAATATGAAACAAGATTTTTTTTTATAAATTTTATAGAAGTTGATCTGTAGCCAGATTCCGCCATTTTCTTGGGTGGTTCAAAGTAAATCTACCAATGATAAGACTCAGTGGTGCAGCCATTATGATCCCTGTCCAAATTCACTATCTTTTGATCACACACTGTAGCCAAAACTTAAATATCATCACTTTATCAGTAAACTACAAAGAACTACATAGACTATTGAGGCAAGTAACAAATTATGATCAAATTGAGCATTAAGTTCATGCATACAAAAATATACCTGAATCACAATTTAAGTCATATTGTGATGAAAAACTACACAAACATCATGATTTCTTCAAAAATAAAAAGTGTTTTTTTCTCTGGCAACCATATACTTAATTGCATTTAAACTGGTATAAGACTCTATGAGTCTGAGATGAGCATTTATTGTATAATTGTATAATATATAACATCACCCGAGTTCCCACTATAGTACTACTTAAGTTCTTGTATTACAGATCCTCCTCCAATCACCATACAATTACCTAATTCCTGGCTATAAGCAACTGACTTCTGACTTCCAATACACAACCCCACCTACAAGTAATAGGTTATTTATCAAAGCCAATCCTCCCCCAGGTACCACCACTTCCAACTTTGGAATCATAAATTACTGTTTACCTTTTAAATGTGTCGCTAACTCCTGTGTACCTTTTAAATGTGTCGTTAACTCCTTTTTACCTTTCAGATGTGTCGTTATCTCCTGTGTACCGTTCAGATGTGTCGTTATCTCCTGTGTACCTTTCAGATGTGTCGTTAACTCCTGGGTACCTTTTAAATGTGTCGTTAACTCCTGTTTACCTTTCAGATGGGTCGTTATCTCCTGTGTACCTTTCAGATGTGGCGTTATCTCCTGTGTACCTTTTAAATGTGTAGTTAACTCCTGTTTACCTTTCAGATGTGTCGTTATCTCCTGTGTTCCTTTCAGATGTGTCGTTAACTCCTGTGTACCTTTTAGATGTGTCGTTAACTCCTGTGTACCTTTTAGATGTGTCGTTAACTCCTGTGTACCTTTTAGATGTGTCGTTAACTCCTGTGTACCTTTTAGATGTGTCGTTAACTCCTGTGTACCTTTTAAATGTGTCGTTATCTCCTGTGTACCTTTTAAATGTGTCGTTAACTCCTGTTTACCTTTCAGATGTGTCGTTATCTCCTGTGTACCTTTCAGATGTGTCGTTATCTCCTGTGTACCTTTCAGATGTGTCGTTATCTCCTGTGTACCGTTCAGATGTGTCGTTATCTCCTGTGTACCGTTCAGATGTGTCGTTATCTCCTGTGTACCTTTCAGATGTGTCGTTAACTCCTGTGTACCTTTTAAATGTGTCGTTATCTCCTGTACACCTTTTAAATGTGTCGTTAACTCCTGTGCACCTTTAAATGTGTTGTTAACTCCTGTTTACCTTTCAGATGTGTCGTTATCTCCTGTGTACCTTTTAAATGTGTAGTTAACTCCTGTGTACCTTTTAAATGTGTCGTTAACTCCTGTGCACCTTTAAATGTGTCGTTAACTCCTGTGTACCTTTAAATGTGTCGTTAACTCCTGTGCACCTTTAAATGTGTCGTTAACTCCTGTTTACCTTTTAAATGTGTCGTTAACTCCTGTGTACCTTTTAAATGTGTCTGTCCTTAATTAATTAACCAAGTTCTATTTACCAAGAACAATTCATACAACTTAGTATGAAACTCTTTTTAAAATGGAGGTGAAAGACATAGTTATTAAGATAGCATGAAACCTTACACAAAATAAGTCATGCTATATCAACTCGAAATTAGTTTTTTCAAGTGTGATACCCCTAAATATAAATGCCTGTAATATACAGGGAAGGTTAAAGTGGTGTGTCTAGTCAAGCAAAAACTGTGTCTGTTATATAACTTGTGTAAAGGTATTATATACAAAGTTAATAACCTACCTACCACTTACTTTCCTGGGCCAGAAGTGGGAACATAGCAAATGTTGCTGGGTTTTTTTGGAAGGGGGTTAGGACACAGTATTCTACACTGCAACAAAGTCAATGGACGGTGTCTGAATGACATGGTTGGCAAACCACGTTAAACTATTCCACCTGGGATTTTTTCATACTCTATCAACAGTGTCCAGGGTCTATTTCAACTGTATATGGCAATTTTTTTAACACTTAATTTTACAATAGTCACACAGAAGTCTTTTCTACTGCTGAAGCTTCCAGTTGCTATTGAAAAAGAGAAAATTTGCAGATTTTTCTTGTGTTTTTTTCCATAAGGACACCAAGATTCATGTACCATAAAGAATCCTATAATACAAAATGTTCAGCTCTATCAATTCTCAATAGTGACTGTGAAACACCATCAAACCATATGATCCACTGATACAGAGCCCAGGAAAACCACCCACTACATCTACATATGGGCAGATTTGTCGAGTGGTTAACACTCCGGCCTTCCAAGCAGGCGGTCGGGGTTCGATCCCCGAAGTCGCCGTACGCATGGAATATTAGAGAAAGTGTTTTTCTCCTGCCCACACAACTCCAACAACCCAGGTGGAGTATAAAATGGTCTGGGGTGGGTGTTGCGGTATCTGTGCTGTAGCATTCAAGTGAGGTGGCACTATAAATGATACCGTTGGAAGCACGGTCCCAATACAAACAGAACACAATACATCTCCAGCACACACACAGACATACACACATATGGAGATATTAGCTAGGTGGCATAGGACTAGTAGTTAGTGCCTGATAAGGCAGCTCCTGCGAATTCCTCAATATTGATTGATTAATATATATATGCTAATTGTATTGACTGTATAAAATTGTATATCTATATACTGTAAAGCGCTTTAGAGTGGCTTATGTTAGCTAGATAGGGCGCTGTATCAAATGTTGTATATTATTATATACCATACAACTGGTGTACAATGTGTCAAGGGCAATTACACAAACAAAATTGTAAGCAAGGCCTCACACACATCTACTGTAAATATTTGTAGAATTTGACCTCATTTTCAAACCGATGAGGTGGATTTATATACTTTTTGTAGCCTGTCCATCAATCTCATTAGGGTAAATATGGGCAGGGGAGAAAACCAGTTTTTTTGCCATTCCATGCATACATTTTCCATAACTTTTTAATATTTTGAAACAACAATATTTGTTAATTCATGGTTGTATTGTTTCGTATCGGAAACAGTCAAACATTTTATCTGCCGCTCCCTGTCTTAGGATATTGTTGTTTGAAATGTTTCACATATTTGACTGCTGTGCCCTTGAAAGTAGGTCAAGGTCAGTTTAATGAGGAAACTATATCGCACTCCATCCCAGGTACCTACTGGCCAAATATCATGACCCTAGGTCCTACAGTTCTTCAGAAGAAGTCGTTCAAAAGAAAAAGTTAACGGCCTGACGCCGGACTACTGCATAAGCTCATATGGCCCTTTGGGCCAGGTGAGCTAAAAATAGGTGTGACTGTTTTCCCTGAAAAAAAAGACTGCATAGAAATCACAGGAAGCCAGAAACTACTTTCCCATGCAGAGAAATTTTACTCTGAAACATCTCCATGAAAAGAAACCCACCCAGCATGCTATCATGAATTCACACAAATGAATGTAAATGGTGCTCTTTTCTTTTCTTCTTCTTGAACAACTAAATAATATACTGGCTTTCAATACTTCCATTGCTATTAGATTGTTGTATATGACTTTAGGAAGTATTGGGTTTTCTATGTACACACATAGAAATATCCATACCGTGTCAATGCCAACATGTACACACAGTCACAATATGAAAACAAGCATTTGGTAAATTGCAATTTCACTTTTTGAAAGTGTTCTCTGCCCTTTTTATCTTGTGCTGGCATCACAGAACTTTACAATCAGGAAACACATAAGCTACAGTTGTATAATATCAATTTTGAATACGTAACTATAACCCTATAGCATGTGTTATGTGTTCCAATATATGCATCGGATGTGAAATTGTGACTAAATTAGTAAATATTTAACGACTGTCTGAACTTTGTCGAGTTCTCATATCATGCTGGTATAAAATCTGGACGGTGCACCACTCCATGGGTAAATACGTCTTGGTAAAGATGTCTGGGCAAAAATGTCAGGTTGAATATGTTTGGGTAAATGGTTCTTGGTAAATGTGTCTTGCTAAAGATGTCTAGGTAAATGTGTCTTGCTAAAGATGTCTAGGTAAATGTGTCTTGCTAAAGATGTCTGGGTAAAATGTCTGGGTAAATATGTCTCGGTTAAGATGTCTGGGTAAAAATGTCAGGTTGAATATGTCTGGGTAAATGGTTCTTGGTAAATGGGTCTTGCTAATTAAAGATGTCTAGGTAAATGTGTCTTGCTAAAGATGTCTAGGTAAATGTGTCTTGCTAAAGATGTCTGGGTAAAAACTTCTGGGTAAAAATATCTGGGTAAAGTTGTGTGGGTAAAAATATCTAGGTAAAAATATCTGGGTAAAGATTTCTGGGTAAAAATATCTGGGTAAAGATGTCTGGGTAAAGAAGATTTTTGAGGTTGGCATGGAAGGTCTGCTGATCAGGAAAGCAAACTTCCTTCAGTAAATTCAAATGTACACTTAGTATTGATCGTCTATGATAACTTACCGCTAACTTCCATTTCCAGTTTCTGTAAAATTGTAACTGATATATATTAAACTGCCAAAGGACATAATTCCAGTGAAGACAAAGGTATCGTTTACCCTGTTGAACCACAGTGTTTATAACACTACAATGATCACCTATACCAGGAAGATTGGCTGACAGTGATCTGTAGTAGGAAAGTTTACACAATATCACAGCACCTTATCTAGATACAGGTGGTACTACACAGTTGTTGTGGTGCTAAGTAAGCCAACATGGACAGGTATACACGGCAATCTAAATCGGCAATCTAAATCGGCAAGGGAAAATGTCTGGTCTTCTCCAGCTAAAACCGATTCTGACTGAAACAGTTGTCACAAGTATGTAATTCATTCACCATCAACAGTTGGATTGAAATAATGCCAGTATTTCCCAGCTTCACAGGTATATGTATTAGAAAGTTCCCAGTACTTCCCAGCTACATAATGATATCACAGGTAGATATTAGACAGTTCCTGGTATGTTTCTGTCTTAACACAGGTAGATATTTAAAAGTAATAGAACAGGTAGATCTATATAAAATGTCCCAGTATTTCTGGACTATAACAAGTTCAATCTATTCTGGCTAGGGAGGGACTTCTAAGAATTAGTATCCCTTAGGTATTCTCCAGGTATCACAAGTAGAGATCAAAGTATCCATCAGATGTAATGTCCAGGCATAACAGGCAGAGATATAAACGTCCCAGGTAAATCCTAGCCACAACAGGAACAGAATTTATGATGAAATACACATCCCCAGTATGTCCCAGCTTACACATGTCGAATTGAATTAACAGCAAGCTAAGGTAACCATTGCTCAACGATGTCTCTGGTATTACCCTGTCTATAACACATAGGGACTATTCTTCATCATAGCTCAAAATGCCTCTGGTATTGACCCGTCTATAACACATAGGGACTATTCTTCATCATAGCTCAAGATGTCTCTGGTATTGCCCCGTCTATAACACATAGGGACTATTCTTCATCATAGCTCAAGATGTCTTTGGTATTGGTTGGTCTTGAAACTGGTAGTGAGATGTTGTAATAAGTCATAAACATCCAGATAGACAGTGTCCCACCACAATAACAGCCAGGTAACACAGACATTGATCCTTACCCACTTAGTGTGGATATTTGTATAGGCAGACGTGTAGCATTCCATTCAAACAGTAATGCACAGACAATAACAATGGCAGAAATATGATTTTCCATCAGAGTAGATATTGACAATGGGATGTCTTCCTGGTCTTGCGTGTAAGCCAGCTGACCCAAATACCTAGTACCTACAGACTATATAAACCGGTTATGAAATTAAAACAAATGTTGTAGCTAGTTGAATGTTCTGTAAGTGAAGTTAAACAGATAAGATCAATATCTGAATGGAGATAAAAAATATATGCTATCTGGTTCACTGTGTTCTCAGTTACCAGACTTCCAGGGGTACCAGCCTGTGTCCAAAGGGATGGGGACAGGGGATGGGGTACCAGCCTGTGTCTAAAGGGATGGGGACAGGGGGCGGGGTACCAGCCTATGTCCAAACGGATGGGGACAGGGGGCGGGGTACCAGCCTGTGTCCAAAGGGATGGGGACAGGGGGCGGGGTACCAGCCGGTGTCCAAAGGGATGGGGACAGGGGGCGGGGTACCAGCCGGTGTCTAAAGGGATGGGGACAGGGGGCGGGGTACCAGCCTATGTCCAAACGGATGGGGACAGGGGGCGGGGTACCAGCCTGTGTCCAAAGGGATGGGGACATAGTACAAGCCTGTGTCCAAAGGGATGGGGACAGGGGGCGGGGTACCAGCCTGTGTCCAAAGGGATGGGGACAGGGTACAAGCATGTGTCCAAAAAGATGGGGACAGGGGGCGGGGACTCAGCCTGTGTCCAAAGGGATGGGGACAAGGGGCGGGGGACTCAGCCTGTGTCCAAAGGGATTGGGACAGGGGGCGGGGGACTCAGCCTGTGTCCAAAGGGATGGGGACAGGGGGCGGGGGACTCGGCCTTATCACAGAAAGCTATGTGTCTCATTCCCAGCAGTAATGGTTTTAATGTGAATTGTGTCGATATATGTCTGGTACTTTTCCAAAATCATGCTTATTGTATGTGATATTTGAGTACTTGAGATATAGCTAGATATAGCTAGAACAAACTTCAAACAGAGCCCCACCCCTATGCCCCTAGGGGGGTCATACCCACCAATTATACAAAATTAAGACCCCTTGGTCCAAGGATGCTCCAGACTAAATATGGAAAAAATCCCTTAATCTCGATAATCGAAGAAGGATTTAAAAAGTTTTACCTCTATTTTTCCTATTGGCCCCCGCCCTTCTGCCCCCTGGGAGACCACACCCACTGCATATACAAAATTAAGTCCCCTTGGCCCAAGGATGCTCCAGACTAAATTAGGATAAAATCCCTAAATCCTTATGGTAAAAGAAGGATTTTAAAGGTTTTACCTCTATTTCCCCTATTGGGCCCCGCCTCTCTGCCTCCAGGGGATTAGACACACCGTTTATACAAAATTGGTTCCCCTTCACCCATTGATGCTTCATACCAAATTTGGACAAAATCCTGTCTTTCGTACAGAAGAAGAAGGTATTTGAAGAATTTGCTATGTTTCCCCTTTTGGGCCCCTCCCTTCTATCCCCAGGTGGGCCAAACTCGGTGTTTATATGAAATTGAGTCCCTTTTGTCCAAGGATGCTCCAGACTAAATTAGGATAAAATCCCTCAATCCATATGGTAGAAGAAGGATTATAAAGGTTTTCTTCTATTTCCCCTATTAGGCCCCGTCCCTCAGGTCCCAGGGGGGCCACACCACCGTTTATACAAAATTGAGTCCCCTTTACCCAAGGATGCTCCACACCAAATATGGACCAAATCCTTTCATTCCTACAGAAGAAGAAGGATTTTAAAGAATAATTTGCTATGTTTCCCCTATTGGGCCGGCCCCTCAGGCCCCTGAGGGGCCAGACCCATGGTTTATACAAAATTGGTTCCCCTTCACCCAAGGATGGTTCAGACCAAATATGGAACAGATCCTTTCATTCCTACAGAAGGAGAAGGATATTAAAGAAATTTGCTATATTTCCCCTATTGGGCCCCGCCCCTCAGCCCCCAGGGGGGACAGACCCACCGTTTATACAAAATTGGTTCCCCTTTACCCCAGGATGCTCCACACCAAATATGGAACAAATCCTTGCATTCTGACAGAAGAAGAAGGATTTTAAAGAATAATTTGCTATGTTTCCCCTATTGGGCCCCACCTCTCAGGCCCCTGGTGGGCCAGACCCATGGTTTATACAAAATTGGTTCCCCTTCACCCAAGGATGCTTCAGACCAAATATGGAACAAATCCTTGCATTCCTACAGAAGAAGGATTTTAAAGAATTTGCTATATTTCCCCTATTGGGCCCCGCCCTCCAGCCCCCAGGGGGGCCACACCCACCATTTATACAAAATTGAGTCCCCTTGGCCCAAGGATGCTCCAGACTAAATTAGGATAAAATCCTTTAATCCCTATGGTAGAAGAAGGATTTTCAAGGTTTTACCTCTGTTTCCCCTATAGGGAAGGGGGCCACACCCACCGTTTATACAAAATTGAGTCCCCTTGGCCTAAGGATACTCTAGACCAAATTTAGTCAAAATCTACTTGGCCGTTCAGGACTAGTAGCGTTTCAAAGGAAAAGTTGACGGACGGATGGACGATGGACGCTACGGTATGGCACAAGCTCACCATGGTCTTTCGGACCAGGTGAGCTAAAAAGGACGATAAATCACTGCCAAGGAGCATAAGAAGTGTACCAAGGAGAGGGATATCTTCGCCGCAAGGATAAGATTTGAATCTTAGATTAGGGCTGGGAATGATATTGGGGGCAGGGGGAGGGGGAGGGGGCTTGTCTGTGTGTTTGGAAAGGGAATTTACCTCAAATGTCAAGGGGTAAGACAAGAGTCAGTAGCTCAAAGG